CCCCATAAGAATTTTGGAATTTCAAAATTTCAAAGTTTTAGAAATTCAGATTTTTAGTTTTACAACTTTTTCAAATCAGTTTTTGAATATATTAATTTTTCTTCAACAATAATCTCACCTTTGCAATGATTTCAGAAACAATCAGTAAAAATCAATAGAATCGAGGCCACAAAAATCAGAAAGTAGCCATAGTTGCGTAGAAAAATGAATGATTGCCGCTGGGTAGAGGAGGGGACACTGTGAAGCTAGAGATAAGAGACGCAGATATTTGATCACTCAAAAAGTAAGATAGAACGCTGGGAGTGGAGACGCAGCTATGTTTGTTTTATTCACGGTCAGCTATATGATTTTTGCATTTTCTTGGTGCTACAGAGACGCAGAATAGAAAGTTTTTGTTTTGAATTCCTCGAAAAATGGTTTAAACTCTCTTAAGCTCTTTTCTAAATTTTTTTAAAATTTTAATAAATTCGAAAAATGAGGTTTCACCATACTCGTAATCCGGGCCTTCCATGAACGGAGTCACAGACGAAATAGAACAAAAAAAAGCAGGCACGGCCCGGCACATCCGGGCAAAGGCACTTTATGGCCAGTAACTTTGTTCCAAGACAAAATACAGTTTTCCAAATAGTATCATTTTGTAGTACTCACCAAGTTCTATCATATCAAATGTAGGTTTAAAAATATTAACTCTGAAAAAAACTATGACAGTGCCCGCGAAAGCCCGGGAAGGCACGGATTACGAGTTAGGTGAAACTTCATTTTTTGAATTTATGAAATTGTTGTATTTTCTAGGCCATGACTTAATTTTTTATGGATTTTCTAGTTTACGATCTAATTTTTGGGTTTTCTAGGTTATGAACTGATTTTTTGGGTTTCTAAGTAGCGCATTATCCAAACGTATTTTGCTGACTCACCTTAAAATCTCAATCATGTGACGTAGAAGAATACGTGGAAATCGGAGTTTATAGAATATTTCAGAATAGGAATGAAAACAGAATAGGAAGTTTCAAAAAAATCAATGGGAATAGATACCCGACATCCATACAGAAGGACGTCTGGGAATCTATAGGGGGAAAGAGAAGACTGAATACTAATGGTTGCTACCTGAGGGTTTATATAGGCAGAGTCGGGGGCAGAGTCTTCACTGCTGTCTTCATCAAGAAACACATGAATGCAAAGGATATGAAAGATAATGTGACTCAAACATTAGATGAGGATTTTGATGTGGAAGGAGTGGATAATGAAACTGGAATGGTGTTGTCAAAGAAGGGATCTTTGGAAGAAGTCAAGGAAAAAAATGGATTACTCGCCGGGACCTGAGGCGAGGTTCGTACCCATAACCTCCTTTTTACTGATTCGCTTTGCCCCTCACTCTTTCTTAAAAGTTCACGCTTATTTATATTTATTTTTCAATGCGATATTAAATCGCGCCAAAGGCGCACCAGCTAGTTGATTTATTATGAAGATGATAAACTTTCAGGAGCTGCAGACAGCGCAAACCATGGAGTACCCCGAAGAATTTGATGAGAACGATCGAATCCTTCGAGACACGATTCTCCAGCCACTCCTCAGCTGTCAAGAGCAAGAAGAAAAAGTTCTCATCCAGAGAACGGTTCTGTTTTACTTGGTCGAACTGGACAGAAGATTGAATGGATCACCGTCTTATAGATTCGATCAATTGAGGAAGAATGTGATTAACTGATTTATTGGTTTTTCTTTCCCTTTCAAATTTTATGTGATCATTCAGAACACCCACGCTTTGTTCCTCTCTTTCTCTAGTTCTCCAACCACATTCTCCAGTATCGTCCCTTTGAAAAGATCTCCCTATTCAAAACCCTTATTTTTTATATTCCTATTTTCTACATGATGTTAATAAACGCCCCGAATGATTCATATTCTTGCTTGTTCTGCTTTTCCTTGAAAAATGTTTCAGGACACTTTTTAATTAAATTGAAAGTTTTGGCGCTGGAAAAAGTTTTTGTTGAAAGCTGCAATTTTTGAATATTATTTGAATTATGAAATTCTAGGACTGTCTAATCAAATATTTAATTTGTTGTTCAACCGAAGGGAACGTCTCAAAGAAATAAGCTTTCGTCAGTATTCGGTACAGGAACTCCGACGGTTTGTTCCATTGTCGACAAAATTAACAAACTTCTCAACAAATGTTGGAGAAAACATCGATAGCAAAGCTCTAAAAGAAGTTCGCATTCTTAAAATAGACTTTACATTCCACTTCACCGGATGTCAGATGATGTCTTGGGTTCTCTTCTCGAGTTTGACTTTTCCACTTATTCTGGAAAAGACACATTGCAAAGCACACGTAGACTTCACAAGGGAATCACAACACTTTGTCAACTTGTATTTTGAAGAAATTTCAGGATAGGTCAAAGATAGCCTATCTTGATACCGCTGAAAATTTTGAAATCCGCTCGACAGTTTCAGCCGAGATATTTCTGTCTAAGGCTCTCTAAAATTTAACGCACTCGAAATCTGAACCACAACTTCTGAAAATGACCAATTTATGATACACAGTTCCCTTAATTTCTGAAAATTCTGAAGATCTGACTGGTTTGTTTAGATTTTCACAATACAAAAAATCTGATCACATCTATTCAGCCAAGAATTTTGTTTTTTTTTGTATTCTAGTGGATTTTACTCCAGAATGATACTCGACTTGATAAAATCAGAAAATGGCTGCTGACAGACGTCCCCCCCCCCTCCTCCTTCTTATTCTAGTACAATTTTTCTCAATTTCGCACACTTTTAAACATACTTGTAAAATCCCGGGCCCGAGCAGGGCCTGAGGAAATTTTCAAGGCCCGGGCCCGGTAGCAAAAAGTTCGTCATTTTAAGCGAAATTTTGAGCTCTCAATACAATTTTCTCCATTAATTTTTGTGTTTTTGGATTGTTTGTCTATTTGATCAAAAAATATCAAAAAAAAAACTCGAAAAAATGTTTGATCGAAAAAAATCACATAAGGGTCCCGCCTTATGTGTTTTTTGAAAATTTCAAAACTTGTGAAATGACAGGCTTGCCGGGCCGGGCCTCTGAAATTCGGGAAAAAGCCCTGCCCTTTACAAGTATGCTTTTAAAGACAAATAATACTGAATTTCTGTAGTCACAATTTTCTAAGCTATGTATTTCCTATTCTGAAAGGAATAGCTGTTCTGAAACAAATTTCACCCGATCACAGGATCTGATCCTGAGCTCAGGAAAAATCTAAATGTAAATCAACTTTCCATTAAAAAACAGTTTTTGAAGTTAACTTTCACATTTTTATTTGATTCGAGTGTTATCACGGTGTCGGAAGAAAAACACTTTAGAGAAGGTTTAATGAACGGGAAAGGTGTATTCAAACATGTGAAAGCAAGAACTGGGGGAGCATCATTGAATGGGGAAAAAACTTTGAAGAATGGGGGTTCCTTTAGAAAGACGTCTCTGGCATTGGGCTTGTTGAAATCGAGGAACGTGGTGAATCCCTCTGGTAAGTTGCAGCCATCTCTTTTGCACAGGCAACGAATGGAAATCTGGGATGGACGTCCGGCAGCGTGGAACTGGAAAGCCTGAAAATGAACAAATGAGATCTTTTTTCTGGAGCAAATTTCTGTAACTTACCTCTTGAAGGCAGACGTTGAGCATGGCAAGTCTGGGATGTGTGAGGTGGAAGAAGCTGAGGACGTTGGTGTAGTCGTCAGAATCCATGTCGACGCCGTTGACATACCCTTTGTTGAAATCCTTTGGGTTCGGCATGTAGGAGCAGAGCTCATAGATTGGCTCGCTCAGTCAGTGCTCTCCGGAGAAGTGGTTTCCAGCAATGTTCTCCTCAATTGGCTCCCAACACCGGATTTTCCTGGTAAGCTGCTCATGAGCATCTTGAACAGTGTTCTTTGCCAATGGGCGGACACTGAAGCTCGAGATGGCAATAGCCGTGCAAGTGAGAAGCATAGCAGTTTTAGAGAACATGGTGAGAGGTTGGAGAAGGAGAAGTGAAAGGGAGTTCTCTGAAGAATGTAACTGGCTCACAATGATGAAGAATAGTACTCAAAACGCTGTTCTTAAAGGGAGGCAAAAAATGGGCGGAGCATGTTTTAGTCGAAAGATAGAGGAAAAGAGGTGGAGCGACAAGAAAGATGAAAATCTCTGATTTAAAAATGAAAACGAAGAGGTGGTAGAGGAAAAATGAAAATTCATTATCCAGGCATAAGCTGAGAAAGGGCAGGAAGATCAAGGAAACATTGAGATTTGAGAGATTTTATCCCAAGGGAGCATTTACATTATCGAGATGAATGTTTTGAGATGGAAAAGAAAATGGAAATGGCTCGTCGGTGAATATATAGACCACAATGCATTTCTTTCAGCACACACTGATTTCGAACGTTTCATGAAGACTGTACACTACTGGAAAATGTCAACGAGTTTGTCAAATAGCTTTTAGTTTTTTGAACGCATTGTTGGTTGTTGCAATTGTATGAAGTATACAGTATTAAATTGTTAAATTAATAAAATATTTTTTCACGAGAACTAAATTTTGAGCTAAAGCTCGGATGATGGGAAGTTTTCTAAAAATCAAAAAATTTCTGCAACAATAATCTCTTTTGTCAAGCGGGTGTTTATAAAAATGGGATTTCTTTTTATTCAACATTTGTCTTCGAGTTTGTCACGTTTTTTTCAAACGAGGCACCTTAGAAATAATAACGCTAAATTAAAATTTTGAACTACAGTGCGCTCAATATCTTTAAGACCCCTTCGATTTTGGCGGTTCCAGGGGAAGGAGGAGAAATATCAAAAATCTATAAACGCCATTCGATACAAAATAAAAAGAAATCCTTGGAGACAAACTTTCATAATTTACCACTTTCCGTATAAGAGTACCATCAAAAAGACCTATTTCTGACCGGTCAATATCTATGAACCCCCTGGAATTTTCGAAATTTTGATCATTTTTGTAGAATTTTCACTGCCAATCTGAAAATAACTGTTAGTTTCGTCCTTTTTTGGTACATCGTCATAAGTATCTCGAAGAATTTTCATAATTTGTCCGCTTTCCAAATTTTCATTTTTTTCTAATTTTTCCTAAGATTTGGGTATTTTTGTAAAAGTGACCCAATTTGTCAAAAAATTTGAACTATTCGAAGATAACAGTCATAGAACATACCGAATATGTTGTTGAGAAGCTAATATAGGTACTATGAGCGCAGACAGGTCCTTGATTGTGTACAGACACTGTGTTGTTCCAGATATTGGGTTACTTCTCTAAAATTAAGAAAAATTGAAAAAAAGTTAAAATTTGGAAAGTTGACAAATTATGAAAGTTCTTTGAGATATTTATGAAGATCTACCAAGAAACAGAATACTGGATGTTTAAAAGCAAAGATTCAACAAAAAGTGAACAAGATTTCGAAATTTCCAGGCCAGAAATAGGTCTTTTTGATGGTACTCTTATACGGAAAGTGGTAAAATCATGAAAGTTCGTCCAATTAGGGTTTCTTTTTTAATNGAATCGAAAAGACGGGGNAACAAAANNNNGGGAATCNNNCCCCCGGNNTNCCCNGNGNCCCCCCCACAAAGGGGTGGGGGGGTCTAAGGATATTGACCGCACTGTATTTTTCCCAGGACTTTTTCAATTTTCTGTGAGATTGTTTTTTTTCTTTAAAGCCCTATTTCATTTCTTCCATGAATATTTTCTTAATTGGCAATAAAACCCGAGTGGCTGAGCATCGCCCTGTGTGCTTGACATCTGACAGACCTGAATTAACGGAAGCCAGAAAATCGTTTCGGTTTATTTTTCAAAAAAACATGAAGTTTGAGGAGAACAAAAGTTCTGAACCTATATTTCCGGCAGAGTCGTTCAGTTGAATGTCAATCTCCGGAAATTTATTGCGGATCACTCTGCTATTCCGGATATTAGAATGGATTTTTAGAGTTTCCGGTTTTCAGCACTGCCGGACTTGATAATCTAGTTGAACTTTCTCAACAGCTGCAAATTTTGC